CCCTCCTGATTAACTACCAACCCGAAGGACAGAACACGGAAGCATGTCCGCTCGCCTCCAGAGAGGCATCGATTTGCTGGCAGCTGGTAACCACACAGACGGCTGGCACATCGAAATGAGCTGGGGAGCAGAAACTGGAAGATGAATAACTGCAGGGAGGGTGATACTGACTATTTTTATATTCGGAGCCTTGCTGAGTGAATCCAGTCTTTTTGGATTGACAGCCTCATAAACAAAAGCAATCCACCACTATCTTTGAACAACTGCAGGCTTTTAAGATGCAGAAACAGAGTTGCTTTACAAATGATATTCAAGACAGGTGGTGTATATTTTCTTCTTATTTACACTATCTTTTCAAGTATTTACATGAAAAGATAAAAAAGGCCCAGATTCAAGTTTTAAAGTGTATACATGCAGTGACGTACATGACGTTATTTTAAAAAGATTTTAGATTCATAATTTTACCTATATTATGTGTAACTGAAAAACAATCAAATCTGCTGCAAAAAAAGAAAAAAGGTGAAATGTTCATCTTTAGACAACATTTTACTTTATTGAAGCACTTTTTATTTTAACTTCAGTTGTTATTCTTCTATTGATTTGGATGCAAATTTGAATTCACTGTGATGCTAAAAAAATAAAACATCATAAATAAGGATCAACTTATGATTGTCTATTAGTGATTCATTAGATTGAAATCCGTTCCAGTTGATTAACTAACAAAGTCCTATTAGACCTTCTTTTAGTGTTGTAGTTTGGCCGCCATCCAGCAGAGGGCACCGCTGGTCATCCTTAAGCAAAGCCAGATACAGAACAGGGAAGATAAACGATCCAAGCAAAGTCCGGTTTGAGATACAAAATGTACTTTATGCGGTACTGTTTTGAAATATAAATGACATTGTTTTTGGATTTGCTCATAGCTGCGTTGACGAAAACATCTCTTCCATTTGGACAAAAGTAAGCCCGCATCATTCTTTTTGTGATGCCAGTGTTGTTTTGGTGCCTAAATTAAAATTAATGTTTCATGATCATACCATAATACAGTTCCCCAAAGTGTTTAAGTCTAGGTGTAAATTTTGGATGAATTATGAATTATGTCTTGTACCCTGCTGTTTAGTACGTAAATGTGTGAATTCAGACTGAAAAGCTGTTTTAGCAAACTATTCATGTAAGGATTAACACATGCAAACAATGAGCAAAACAAATCTCATGATGTAGCTTGGGTTTCACAGTATATTTTCCCCAGTGAATAGCATTAAATATTTTTGTTAGTTATTACTGCTTTCAGTATGTGATTTGCTTACATACATCTTTTGCCAGTCATATTTTTTTACAAGGATTTGTTTCCTTTTTTCCCCTCCTGAATAGCCTTTGTATCATAAAGCATTTAACTGCATGGCACAAATCTCTATGACTAATGACAACCCATAATGTCCTTAGTAATACTAAGACTGCATTACTATGTGATTCAATGGATTATCAACGTATCGTGAGAAAATCCCTGTCAGAGCCAAGAAAATGCCATGAAGTGATATGAATTTCCTTAATACTTCACAACTCACCAAACAAAAATCGAATGAAGACTGAAAGGACAGCTCCTAAGCTCTTTTACATGATTAATATAGGTGTCTGTATTTAACTGGAACCATAAAACGAGGTTAAATACGTTCAGAATGTCTCTGAGGCTGCAGCTATAAATTGAACACTGACTTGGAATGCGAACTCTTGTAGATTCATAATCCAATTATCCTGCTGGTCACTCCATTACACATCAGTAATATATAGTTAAATCCAAGTAATGACAACTGAATTAGCCTTTCAGGAGGTTTAAGTAAGATCAAAAAGAGGGAAGTTGCTGTTGATTCAGAAATCCCAAGTGGGGATAACCATGAGAAAGGATTTTCCCTGTTTAAGGGAACAATAAGGGGGAATACTTTCATGCTTACTTGCATCATCAATGGCTGCCCTCTCTGATGTAAGAACCCCAGACCAGGCTGGGAGGAACAAGGAAGATGGTGTTTGATTTGAAGGTTCTGATGTGGCAAGGTAAAGGTCAGAGGGTACTGCACTCGTGGAAATTGTCGTCTCATTTTGCGTCCACATTCAAATTGAGTTCTTGGTGTGAAAACTGAGTTTCAAAGAACTCTTTCTGTACATTTATGTACTTTATACATACATATGCATGTATAAAGTGCATACATATGTGTATGTCCAAATTATTAGAAACTATCAGGCCCACTTTGGATAAGCCCACTCTTGTTCTCTGTGCCATAAACTACATTTTTTATGAAGTATTTCACATCTGCCTCATGTTCACCTCACTCTGTTTTCATTAAACATCAAACATAAGCTGGAGACGATTATAAATTAAAGGTTGTTGTTTTGAAGAAAATTAGTATTGCTTTTCCCATGCTCAAAATAATTGTCTTTTGATTTTTAATGTAATTTGTCAACCGTCTCATAGTAAAGAGATTAAAAAAAAAAAGAAGAAAATCTTCAAAAACAATCTGTTGTCATGTTTTGGACTTTAGAGAGAGCCTTTATTAATTATCACTCATCACTGAAGAGAGATTCTTTTAAAAAAATAGCAAAGTATTAAAAAGTCATTAAAACTTCTACATGCAAAAGAACAGAAAGCTTAGATGCCAAATATTAAAACTAAGTACAAAGATAAATGATAAAACCACATTAAGCAAACATCTGAACCTGGACTGCTTTATTCTAGCAGTTCTGGGATTTTAGCAAAAAACTGCTCCTGGTTTCCCAGTATATTGTATGCAAAACGTTAGGTAGCAAGAAATAAAAACTCTTTTTTCAACTGTATTTCAACTGTTGATATGTTTCTCAACAGCAGGGCTGTGATTGCTATGTCGACAATACACTTACCTAAAAAAGTCGCAATAAATAGTTCTTATTGTCACTTTTATTAAATATCATGATAAAGCTTTTTTTATGCCCTAGATCAGATGTAGCTTATCTTTTCTTCTGGCTCTTTAAATTTGTCTTTACCTTTAGATATTGGGTTATTTTTCCGTCATTTCCAGTCTAAGTTTTACACCTGACCATTTTGAGACAAATGTTCTTTTTTGGTGCCGTTTTCCTAAGCCAACAACACAGACACAGACAAACTAGACTTCTAACAGAAGGCAAAACGCCAGTACTTTGTCTAAACATAACAGAGAAGTTGGCGCAGAAGCATCCAGAGTGACTTGGCCTTGTTTCTGCGCTCTTCGGGTAGGCGGGAGCCTGATAGAGGCCCAAAGAAAAGGCAGTAAGAGAGAACACATTTAGAAGTGAATGTGTGACTAAGACAACGATGGAGATCCAAGGTGACTATCTCAGGAGAAAAGAGCGACATAGAGACAGCATATTGCAGGAAATCCTGTGTCACCCCCTAGTACAACTGATACATCCATGACAGCAAAGCAGAAAGTATGGAAGCGACATCTGTGAGGTTGCAAAGACAGAGGTCAGGGGAATGACTGAGAGGTAATATGAAAGAGAAAAGGAAGATTAAAGCTTTTTGCTTGCTGCTCGAGCTCAAACTAAGTCCCATCTTGGCCTCAAATCTCCTGTTGCCATGGCAATTTAACGGCGGGTTGGTGTCCCAAGAGACTCTGACCTGCGAGCGCAGGCAAGGAGGGAGCTAAACACACAAGGAAAAGGAGCGCAGAAAAACAATATAGGTGCTTTAAACAACAACTGCACTGCAATGAATGCACTACTGGCAAAAACTAACAATACACGGTCTAGTTCTGCTAATTAACTTGCACAGGTAATTAATTTGGATTTAGTAAATATCTCCTTATAGATAAACATCTTATATATGATAGTTTGACCCATATGGTGTTCGTTGCTCGGCATTATTAAATGGATCCAGTCATTTCACACTGCTGATGTCATGCTGACCTTTCTGTGTCACTGACACAGCCAGACAAAGCTTTCTGTAACCGTCTGGAAATGTCAGAGAATCTTTGAGCAGACTATCTTAGCAAAAGACAAAAATTTGGAAAGCATAATATAATACAATTCAGAGTAATACATTATCTTGTCCAATGTATCTCAAGATATAGTGAAAATTGATAGAATACTAAGAATTTTTTTTTATTACATACTTCATCCTACATTGCAAATTTGTTTGGAAATCTGAGCACATTTTATGTTTTACTATTTTCTCCTCTAAATTGTAAAGCAATCAATTTGTACCAATAAACCCAGGGAAAAAGCTCAATTTTGAGCCAAGTATGCAGACACAGCTGTTGCTCTGGGTGAACACAGAGAGAATAACCATTAAAAGCAACCAAAGCACTCTGTACTCCCACAGCAGTCCCCACAAACTGCCCAATTTGTTCTCTGCGCTGCCTTAAAAACCTAAATTAGGTGCAAGAAAAATAAGCCAAGATCGTAATTCCCTCCTTCACCATTCTTTATGATCAACACTCATATTTAATAAAATTATTTTATAATTTTGGATGAGGTGAAAAGCACCTTTTGAATATAATAACCTATAAGCAGGTTTTAAGTATACTTTTCATTTCTTTATTAATCTTTTTTAAGTCTAATGTAATATTTGTATTTTATATATGTTTTCATTAACTTTAAGCAGAAAATGATCATAATTAACAGAAATAAAGGCTTTCAAACATCATTCTGTGTCTGTATGTAATGAGTTTAACTAAATGATAAAGCTTCTGAAATAAATGGGCTTTTCAGTAATATTCTCATTTATTGATTGTGTATGTTTTTCATTAAATATGGTATAGTGCTTTATTTAAAGGACAAAAAATGGTTAAAAAAAAAAAAGAACCTTACTACAATTTGAATTTATTTTTACAGCATGCTTTTTGTTTCACTTATTTTGTAACAATAACACCATTAACTCTCTAGGCTATTTCCCAGCATTGCACTTAGGTCCAAGTACATGATGAATTGTGTACCCATGAGTGCATTCTTTACAGAAAACAGGGAAAGGATCAGAATGAACTCAGTTGTTTTCTTTTGGAGGAGAAAAGTGACTCATGTTGTTTTCTGTCTTTACAGCTGTTTCCTTCATGAGACACAGCGCCTCAGCCTTTGGATTTGCTGTGAGTCCCAGCTTCCTGCTTTCCTCCCTAAACGCTGATCAATTAGTCATTGCTGGGGACCTCGGTAATTTATTAATGAATCCCAGAACCAAAGTGTTATTGGTCCCCTTGTTGCCACGGTAACAAAGGAGAGCGGATGGACTCTCCAAGGAGCTGGGATGGATTGTCAAAATGCATTTTGAGTTTGTGAAAGAGGTCATCAGGTTTTCACCAGAGGATAATGTTATGCAAGAGTTCATAATTACAAGAGGAAATGATTAAGATTGTTTCTAGTAGGAGAATGTACAACTTAATAACAAGGAAATGAAAATTAATACATTCACACCTTGGGCTTTTGGTGGGAAATGTGATTAGCATAACATGATTAGGTCATTTGAACTGCAGTTCTGGCTATTTTATCTCAGAAGGTTTTAATTATCTATGGTAAATCATCTGAATATATGTTGCTTTTGCCAACTATAATACTTAAAGTCAGCATTGTTTTGATCGGATCAACGAACATTTTATTATTTTGCTTTAAGATTTTCTGTAGTTCCTGTTTTGATACTTATCAGTTTATATTGAATTCTTCACAGAACAACTGATTTATGTTATCATTAGTCCAGATTAGATCATTTAAAATACACCATTTAATAAAAACCAATAAAACGTGCTGTCATTAGTGGTTTCGCCCTTTTAATATGGGTGGTACGGCTATCTAATCAGGGAAGCATACCCTCAGGGGGTGGCATCAGGACTCAGCAAGGAAAAAAATAAAATCTGTCAGTTGTACAATAAGTTATTTTTGTTATTTATTACACTGTAAGAAAATAGGGCCACAATATACAATATTTAACACCATCCTCTCTTAAAACTTTGTAAAATCCCTTAAAGATTTATTGTTATATATATATCTATATATAGATATAGATATATATATATATTTTTTAAAATCAAGCCGATAATTTAAGTATTTTTGTACAATTAAAAAATACCTCTTTTTTTAAACATCACAAAAGCTACATTTACTAGGAAAATATTTACAATATAAATAAATTCAATAAGAGCACTTTTAAATACTTACTTTTTAAATTGACCAGTTATTATTGAATATCTGTGGTCACAATTAGTAAAATTCTTACCATTTCTTTTTTCTACTTGCGTTTCTCTAACCGGCCGTAGTTTGATGCCATACTGGATGTCATGTCATCAGCCATCGTCCTTTGGCGCTACAGCAACGCAGCAGCTGTTCACTCTGCACACAGAGAGTACATGTGAGTATAAACAAGTCTTAAAAAAGACACATATAGATATATATGTCAAAAACAGAAAGTGTTCATTTCTCGTGAATAAATAAGACAGAACAGGTTAGGATGTTGGGTGCATTCAAATCTAACTCAAAGCACATTTCTGTTCCTGTTTTGGGGTCTGCAGAGCGTGTGTGATCCTGGGGATTGTGTTTATTCTCTCCTCACTATGTATCCTGGGAAAAGCCATCCATGATCTGGCCACCAGGATGCCTCCAGAAGTGGTAAGGCTACTTAACACACATTAAACAGTAAATCTAAGTTTATAATCTTGTCAAAACCTTTAAAACATTATATACAAGTGGCATAATGAGCGCTTTAATATCTGAGTCATGCTCAATGAATAGCAGATGCAAAATACTTGGGGTTAATAACCTTCTATGAATCTACCATTTCTTAGCTGCATGAATATAACTGTGTATTATAAAATAATAAAACTGATGTTTGGGGATTCTGCATGAATAAATGGCACACTGCTCTCCAATTATAGTCAAAATTCAATTCTAACAAATTTATTCCAATGCAGTCCAGTCATATTGCCAGAATATTTCAATCTAAATGATAATAAATGCAGTGAAATTCAGCTTATCATTTATTGCCAAGTGGTAAAAAGTCCTCTATAGGAGAAAGTGAGCTTAAAAGCATTCACAGATAATTGGTCCTAATTTGATGAGATGTTTTTGTAAACAAACCGAGCTCAAACACAAAGAAAAGATTACATTTACAGCGTCGGATTGTAACCACGGTAACACAACCAAAGAATGAAGATTAATATTTTCATTTTTACAAACTAAACTTACCAATTCTCTTAAACAATAAATTTAAAATTTAAACAATTTAACATATTTTATTTATGCTGAGTTAAAATTTAATAGTATTCTCATTCTCAAAAAAAATAATATAAAGGTTTTAGATCTGGTCTGTGTTAAAATTAAAGCACTTTTGGGAATCCGCTGAGAAGCATACTTTCTACAGAAAAAACAGAGGAAAAACATTCATATTTGCAAATAAAAATGCGCAATAGATGGAAAACATAACTATAGATGTACATCAAATTAACTTAAGATGCTTTAAACTTACAGACAATCAAGGAAACTTTGTTGAGACGATACATGTCCAACAACCAATAAAAAAGAATTTGGGTTGGATTCTTGGTCTGCATGCTGGGTTCCCTGGAAAGATGCTGCTGAGGTTTGGCAGGTGCAGTAACGTAAAGGTGCAAAAAAAGAGGTTGTGATAATCCTAAAATAGATCACAGAGTCAAGGTGAGTAATGAATACTCTACCAGTCTGTGACTTTCCTGGTTTCTTTGAAACTACAGAAATAAAAGCTTCAGGAAAATGAAAGTGGGTTCTTCAGGAAATAGCTTGTCTACTACGATCAAAGATGTTCACATCAGGGTTTCCTTCGCTGGAATAGAAAGGTAAAGACAGAGTGTCTTGTCTTGGTTATTTTTAAACACATAGATCCTGCATTAGGCTTATTCTCCAAATGTTTCTTTAAATTAAAGACTACGTCTTTATTATTGTTCATTTCTGCTTTTAACAAGGACTCCTCCTCACTTTCTTATAACATCACTTTTCATCTCTCTGTGAAACTGTTGAGACTATGAATAATCCTGACAGTGTTGCATCTTTTCTTAGCTGCACTGTGACGAATTAGTGTCAGTTTAAAGCTGATTTTTCACAGTGTTTTAATCTCAAGAACAGACAGAGAGAGACAGAAAACAAGAGAATGAGAAAGAGAAGCCAAAACCGCAAAACTGCCATGAGAGATGATTTTTTAAAGAGTAAAAATCATTGTCACTTGACATGTTTGAGAAAACCTGGATTTATTAAATCAACAAAACAAAGTTCACATTTTGTAACATTCATGTTGTTGTTCTACTGACAGTTTAGTTTAGTTTGGGACTACATCCTGATTGGGACCCCAAATCAATGCTTTGGATCAGATTAGGACATTTCTAACATAAAAAAAAAAAATAAAATTGCAGATAACATTTAAACCAGGTGTGCAGCATGCAGACAGTGTGTGTTTATCATTATTTCTTAATACATAAAGCACAATAATACTAATTTACTTGACTGAACTTCTTCTGAAACAATTTCCCATTTCGGAGACGTCTTTGTCTAACTTTAATCGACCCCGAGTCAAACTGATTTTTCTGTCGACCGTAAATTGCCTCAAACTCTTTGACTAGTTGACATTTGGGTGGGTGTGACATTTAAAGGAAGGAAAAATGTTGTTAGAAACAATTAAAGATCTCCGATGGTAAAGAGACGTATTCAAGGCAGGAGAAGAAGGGGAGCTGGTTAAGGTCAGCAGCTTCTCTCCAGACTGTGTTTATTGCTTTCATGCCATTATGTTAATAGAGACCATGTGTTAGAGCCCAGTGGGATCTTGCTAACACCATCAAAAGCCTATTACCACTATCTTTCTCTTTGACACCCCGCCTCTTACATCCGCCACCTCACTTATTTCGTCACCTTCTGTCAGCCCTTGAAATCCTTCCTTAGTTATAAACATTCTGCTTTCTAGCATGCATAAACTAAAGCAGTTGTTAGTGTATTCAGAGTTTCTCTGTCACAGGATTTGCGCTTTGGTTGAATATGTAGATGCAGTAGTTTGGAGGATGAAATGATGCAGAGTTTCTTTTTTGTTCTCATTTAAAGCATCATATCTTTTCCCTGTGAACTGACCTCATCTGCGTTCTAGAACTTTATTATCATTAGTAGTCTGTTTTCTTTGAGGTACAGAAAATCACTGAAGTCTTCAAAAAAAGGAAGTCACAGGTGATTTACCACACCAGATTTCCTTTCATTTTAGTGTGAAAGAGAAAAACAAATAATGAAAGAGAACATTAGACTTTGCACATTATGGTGTCTAAAATAAAACTCCTCTCACATGGAAGCTGTACAGCCTGAGGAGGAAAACCACACGGTGGGATTACTGTAAAATGTTGCTGCTTTGTACAGAGGGATGAAGAAAAGGTAGAAATCCCCATTCGGATCACGTCCTCTTGTGCAGCTCTGACTGTCTGTCCATCTCTTGTACCTGATTAAACACACAACCAGAAGAGCCCCTCTGTGTCAAGAAAAGAGAGACAGAGCAGCTTTGAAACCATTGTAATGTGCAAGTATCTCATAGTCATACACACGTAGGATTTTTGCAGTAATAGAGCTTTTAATATTTGAGATTTCCAAATTGAATTCTAAAAGACTGTCAAGATGAACTCAGCCATCGTTCCCGTTGGTAGCACCATCCAGCCCATTTTGGGGGATCCCACAGCTTCCCTGGGCCACAAGGGATTTAAATTGGTTTTGGTATCTTCTCCTCATGAAGCACGCCCAGGAAACGACATCACCCGCTTGAGAGTCAGAGTCAAACTACTCCTCAGCCCAACTCCTCTAATAACGGTTGTTAACGACACGATGAGGAGCGTTGTTGTGATGGAATGTTGGAAACAATGAGAGCTTCTTAAAGAGACAGAGGCCCAATTTCAAAATGAAGGTATCTTATTGCAGTGATGCTTATTTACTGTAGATATAGAGTAAAATAGAAATACACTGCAGACCGTTCAAAGTCTTATTTCTAAAATATTTTCATTTTTTGTTACAACTATGGAGAAATTTGTAAATGTCTGTGACATAAGATACCAATAGAAAGCCTGTGGTTGTAACATTAATAAAACAATAATGAGTAAATATTAACTGTTTAAATACTTTTCCAAAGTAATTGAGGTTTAAGTAAAAAGTCCAATGTTAGTAATAAATGTCTAAGTTACAAATTAATAAATCAAAAGCTTTTAATTTGGTCTATGTAAGTGAAAATCAGAGCCTAGTGAAGACAGTCTTTGTGTTTCACTGCCAGATATTCTTTGCCTTTTCTCGCCTCCTTCTGATTTCTGTCTTTCCTGAAGCAGGGGTCAAGTTTGGGTTTCTGCTGAATTCGTTTGAGACTGATAGTGAGAATAAAAAAAAAGAGCTCGAATCATTTCAAAGCCTCATCGGTACGACCTTGAACTGATGCACCAATTAAAGAGGAGCACTGAGTTTAAAATGCTTGAGCTAACGAAAAGCTAACAATTCAGCCTTCCATTTAAATGAGTTTGCTTCCCTCTTGACTCTGTGCCAAGTACTACAGGTATTGTATACAACCATAGAAACAGCCAGTTTCATGAGCTTTTTCTCTGTTCCCGTGTGTGACCCCAGGATGACTTCCTCTACAGCGTCTCCATAGTGAGCGGCCTCTGTTGTGCTGTGCTGGCCGTGGCCAAGTTCATGCTGGGAAAAAAGCTGACCAGTCGGGCACTTATTACTGACGGTGGGAAGTCTGCACACTCACTTAATTTAATAAATAACTTGTCTGATAAATGGCGTAGGTGGGACTTAATGCTAGAGAACACATGGAAAACCAAAACATAAATGATAAAAGAATAAAAAGTGCATCTTGTGAAAGAGAGAGACATGCAGAGCTGAAGAAAAGTGCAACACAAACGAATGTTACTCTCCATTGTCCCCAGGTCTCACTCTCTAACTTGCAGGGCATCAATCCAATAAGCCTGAGGTTGCTGTTCTTTGAGCATGGATTTATTTCCCACAAGACTATACACTTACTGCAGGCAAGACAATAACCCACTGAGCTAGCTTCCACACTAGGGCACGTGTAATTATATTTAGAAAAGAAAAAAAGGTACAAATAATGTTGCTGTATCATAGATATGATTTTTGTGTTTAAAAAAAATGATGGGTTTTCTTGAAATACAGATAAAATTCACCATTTATATTCTTAAATGTTGGAATGTTAGTTATTTCACACATACTTATGAAGATGAAGGGCTATTTATTACATACAATTATTAATAATTATCCCATTTGGTTATTCTAAACAAAATCACTCAGGTAAGACTTTAGTAAGAAGAATGATGCGAATAAGAGGTTTAAAATTCGTATGACATTAAATTCTTAGATGGTTCTCTTTCAGGAATATTCAAAGACATTTTAGAGAAACAAGTTTATAAACCGAGCCAACCTTTACATGCTAATCTCGTATTTTTTAGGGTTTAACTCGATGGTTGGAGCAATCATGGGATTCTCAATTCTCATCAGTGCTGAAGTCTTCAAGCAGCATCCCAATGTCTGGTTTCTGGATGGCACCATTGGGGTTTTAATCGGACTAATCATCCTGGCCTACGGAGTCAAGTAAGAGTTTTGTGTTTGACAGACGTTTATTTCTCAGTTTTACGGTTTTGAAATCTCTTTCATTTCCTCCAACATCTGCTCATTTTCTGTTTGCACAGGCTCCTGAAAGACATGGTGCCACGGGTCAGGCAGACGAGGAACTACGAACGCTTCGAATGAAAGAGCCCGAGGCTAATCAGATTAGCAGTTTTAGACACACACACACACCCACCCACACACACCTGGGTGCCTCCTGCCCTCTCCTCTCTCATCTTTCATACACTCATCCACATACTGCTTGTACATTCACTATTACGGCATACATCATGCTCTGTTACATGCATATATGTGAATATACACTTTTGCTGTACATACTGTACATAGTGCACTCCGACATTCAATTACTCAAGTCTCAGAGACCTTGAGAGATAATGACATTATTGAAGATCTTTTCAGCTCAGAGGTTGTTTTTTTTTCCTCTCCTAAATGCTCCTAAATGCATCAAGTTAAAAATGACATCCTGGATGAGGAAGAGGTGAGATCACAAACTCAAAAGCTAAAGAAGTGCTTTGGGTTTGTTCAGGAAGGCAGAGACGGATGTCAATGCAGATTTTTATGTTGATAGTGTCTTTAAATAAGGTCTTGTGGAAAAAAGAGGGTTTATCCATGTAATTTACTAAATAAGACATTCAATGGGCTTTTTAGAATGAAGCCTTTCCTTCATTGTCAAACTCTTGCTCTAAGCAGCCCACTAATTTACAAACTTTATCATTTCAAGTGACTATTAAGCAGAAGTGTGTCTTTAAATGTTAAACAGAGGAAATCTTCTGAGATTAGCCTCTTAAATTATCTCTAAGACATGAAAACAAGAGGAGAAAACGGTTAATACTATATCTTCCTGATACATTAACAACTTTCAGTTAGGTGACTGAGTTAAGATGAAAGGACTCATTAAGCACAAACATTTGCCATAAAATGGCGATGGAGACAAAGTTCAGTGCACAAATCTGGAACTGTTTTGATGTTTTTGTTTTCTTTCTGTAATAAGTTCAAGCACAAATTAATGAACCAGCTATGATAACGTACATTTGTTGACTGCTGCTGACAGCTGATCATTGAGCCAACTTGGGCCAAACAAAGCCTTGAACATTTTTTTTTCATATATTGTCATGTTGAAATTAAACGTACTTTAAAGAGATTTTAAGTTAAACAAAACATAGTGTGTAATTGTGAAGTGTTCAGAGAATATCACTTTTTTTTTATCAGTACAAATGTGAAAAGTGTCATGCATTTGTTATCAGCACCCCCAAGTCAACAGAAGCACCATTCGCTGCATTTAAAGCAGACTAGTACCAGTATTGTGTCTTTGACTTTACAGAAATCCCTCATGCTGAGTATGCATGTGGCGACATTTGAGAGGAAAAACTCCCCTCTAACAGGAAGAAACCTCCAGCATAGCCTGGCTCAGTACGAGCTGCAATTTGCCACGAGCGACTCAGATTTTGAGAAGACAGAGCAGATTCACAAAAAAGAAACAGAAGAACTGATGTAGTACTTTCTATGTTAATAAAATATAAGTCAATGACAGCAGAGGAACATGTTTCCTCCCTCCAGGAAGGGACCACAGCCAAACAGAAAGCCAGACCAGATGTAGCTTCTATGGAGGAAAAGAAAACTGAGAAAACATTAAGTTCGCAGTTGGAATGACGGAAGAAAGTAGCAGAGTGACGAAAAGTGCTAAGCCTATAACAGCATAACTACAGAAATAGCTCAAAATAACCCAACTCCTTAAAATGAAGCTTTAGAGAGACAAAGCCAAAAATAAAATAGAAATATAAAAACAGAACTAATAAACTGTAAAGTAACGTAGTCTGATCAAAAGAAATGTGCAACTGAGTGGGAAAACATGAAAAAATGACCAAAAATGTGCATAAGAAAATCAACAGAATACTTACAAGAAGTAAACAGTAGAGGGCGCTGTTAAGAGAATAAAAAGTGAAAACTTCTGGCTCGTTATATCCTCTTATCCTCCCGGATTCAGTGACTCCATGCGTGGAAACAAAAGCCACACAGAGATGACAGTCAACGCTCCACGTCATACATTTTCAGAGTTTATTCTAACATTTAAAAGTATAAAATCACATTGACAACACAGACACTTCAAACACACTAAAGTTCAAAAAGATCTTAGCAAACAATCTGCTGTGACTACAGGTAAAATAAAGGTCAATAGGGCAGAATAAGTTATTAATCTGAAAACTATAATTAGGCTATTTCAATCAAGACATGTTAAGTTTTAAAACTAAACTTCTAAATTTATTTTCTTAACAGCGCCAAATATAAATGCAGTAAAAATGTATTCTGCTTTTGATGGAAAAGTTTGTAAATGATGCAGCTTACATGCTTGTCTTTTAATGCATTTTCAATAAAAATACATTGAAATCTTTAAGACATGACAAAATGTGGGAAAAAAAAATCAAGACATAGTACTTTGCAACCACTGTTTAAAAACAAAATATATTTTCTTAATTTATTTTACCTACTAAAATTAAATACTGCATTGGATCCTATTTAATAGCAGTGCGGTGTTCTTGTATTTTCATTATTTTTTTCTGCAGCAAAAATCCATTAAATCATTTTTCTACTCGAAATTGTGAAAGAGAAGGTGCAGTCTCACCTGGTAATAATGAGGTTTAAATAAGTGTTGACTTTCATACCATTCTCGTTGTTCGTACATGTTACGGTGTTAGAATGCTGCACTGAACCCGGGGAGGGTGTTTTTTATTATTACTTGAAATCCAGTTATTTTAGTCAGTTGCCTATTTTTTACTCACTGTAACAGCAAAGAAGAAACTTGAGAAACATTAGTGCAATGACGAAGATCAAGCAGCTTGTAGAAAACCAATTTAGTGGCTCAGTGTTCTCTGTAAGTCTGATTTTACACTCATCAAGCCTTCCTTCATCATCTCCTCCCGATACAATTATGTTTATCATTACATGCAATGAACAGAATGTAACAGCAAAGCACATGCTCTGTAAATATGTTTATTACACTGTTCGGAAGTATAAAGCATATCTTATAAAAGTACAAACTGGTTATAGTTGCATATTGTTAAACATGTTTCCTCTGTAGTGTGAATATACTGTAAATGTCTTACATTTTACTGTAGATTATTGGTGAAATGAAACGACAAGTCTTACTGTAAGTTGCTGCTGTGGGTGAACATTCCTGAAAGGGTCTAGGCATGCTCTGGCTGCTCGGTCCAAGTCTCAACTTTTGTGCAGCTGCTGAAAAAAAATATTCCTGACTCTCCTAAATCTGAGTGAAAACACTGTTTGACCCCAGGCAGTGAGGATTCATCATATCTGAGCAACAACCACACTTTAATCGCACATGAATCCATTTTTATTGAAGCATAAATAAATATTTAGGTGTGTTTATGTGCTCAAATTCATGAAGAGCTTGCTTAGTGCTAAAGTATATTTCCAGGTCTCGGTTCTTCATTTTACAATGAATAAATAACGACTGACTGCCCTCTTATGGTTGGTAGAAGAATTACACTGGTCTTATTCAAAACTCCAAATCCCAAGGTAGAACTCTATATTTATATCCCCAGTTGAACAGAGTTATAAAAGCTTTGTGGAGTCATGAACAGGCCTGAATCCATTCAGCTCTGAGTTGATGTGTTTAGCAAAGTGTAACATTTCTGTTATCTTTAGTTCCACTGTGTGAAGAACATGGATAAGCTGCAAACTGAATGTGTGAATCGGTTCAAATCAATTCAACTCACCAACAGCACACTGATTTGTAATGTCCTCCACTCCCCTCTTAACTGCACAGAAGACAATCTCTACAGTAGTCACTGTAGAGATTGTAAGTCAAGCACAGTTTTTAGATGCTGAAGTAACCCCATACTGCACAAACGTTCACTGTAAACCAGCTTGCTCCCCTTTACACCAGATTAAGACTGCAACATGGTTTCTAGACCCGCCAATGCTAATCGCAAATCAGTGTATCTCAAATCTCAGCAGTACTAGTCACATAACACAGTACTACTCCCACATTTGTCTCTGTAAAGAGGTTTTCTACACCTCTACCAAGCTTTGCTTTGAAGGAGAAAGCACCATAAAGAGTATGAAAACAGATGTGTTGGGTTTTTGTACAGTGTTGAGCAGCACAGAGCTTGCCATTTTGGGCAATAATTATACATTAATGCAGTGCTTTAAGGAGTTGTGCTGCCTTTGTTGTAAAATTAACGCTGCCAGCCAGGCATGAGTCTTGTGCATGCTGAAACAGTGTGAAATCTCTTGCTAAATGGCATCGGGAAGGGGGGATGCATTAACCTCAATGTTCCCTATGACCTCTCCAAGACCATGCAAAGACTACTTTTTAATGTCACGGTGCGGTTTTACTCCAGTGTAAAGGGAGCTGAATAATGCTTATACTCCAACTCTTTTGCGCATTTCACAAGGTATTGTTGTGAAAACAAAAATAACATTTTAAAATTTTAGGATGTTGGCACCAAAATCCCTTCTACCTCTCTTCTTTGTACCTTGTGTTGTTTTCATTCCACTTCATGTTGGAGCATCCATGCTTCTTATCGGTTTCCATGTTAAAGTTAAACAGCTCGTCAATTGATACATGTTGTAGTCAGTTAATCCCTCGTATCTCCTGATGAACATTTGAAACATCAGACTTTCTTTAGCCTACAAACATATCTGAATCATCAACATGTGTCAGTTTATGTGAAATAACTTGTCTCCGTTTCATGTGGACATGCTGTCAATGCAGAAATGGACCAGTCATTCCACCAAATTATATGATGTTTTTGAAAGCAATACAAACCAGCTCTCTGTTGCCATAGGCTTTGCATGGGCTTTTAAAAACCCAACAGTGTCTGCGGCTACAAATGCTTTACATCCACACACACACACACTCACACACACACACACACACAGATGTATAAATGAATTTACAAAGAAACTATGTAACGGATCGTTTGTTTGTACAATGACGGCGTTGATGGTATTACAGATGATGTGAACATTATTTATGTAAAAGAACATTAAGGAAATATGTATGTCAATGAAGAGAGTTTTATTGATTGAGTAAATAAAGTTTTTTTCTGGTTGATCATCAAAGTGCTGAGAAGTATTGACTTTTTGGCTGAAGAATGCATAACGAACACTAATTGTATAGATGTTGGGATCATACATAACAATGGGGGATTTGTTGACAATGAGAAAAAGCGTCTAATCCCTTTTAGGAACACCGTCATCCCTATTAGCTCCAAATCACAACATCTGTTTCCCTAAATGCGCTAATAAGATGTCATTTTACTCTGTGGGACACTTGTGTCAATTTGCATAATCAGTTGCTGTGTCTAAAACTATAATAACAAAAACTAAAGGGGATTAAAAAATGTGTGTCTGTTAATAAAGGAATATCAAATTATTGGAATTATTTAAGGTGTGCAGCTATGATCAAAAGTTAAAATGGGTGTGGTTGTCAATAAAAATAAAGTAATTGCGATAAACTTATGCAAAATCTCAGTTTGCTGGTAGGAAATGTTTTGAAGTGTTTCTCTTATTGACATTTTATAAACATTTTAAACCACATTCAGTCCAAAGTTTGTGGATTATCACATTCAGATTATTAAGCTATTCATTTGTATTTCTGTGTATTAAACCAAAGCCAGGAGATCTTTGAAATATTAACTTGGCCTTTTTGGGTACCCAAAACCTTTGACTCCATGTTTGAATATGAATAAATCCTTAAATTGTGTTACAAAATACACTAATTCTGTTTAATAACTTGGAAATTTCTCAATTTTTAGTGTCTTTACTGATATAAAAACCTTGTTTCACAAAATAAAATTTGTGATAAAAATAAATTAAAATAACAATAAAAGAAGCTCACCAAGCCAGTGATGTAATTCAGAAAACGTACTTTTTTAAAATCACATTTTGTGGCACAAGTATGAAGGGAGCATGAGTTACAGACACAAATGTGACCACTTGCATTTCACACTGTTTCATAAAGAGGCTGATAAAGATTCCTGCAATATTTACTCCACCAGTAAGCTTTCTCACCATCTAAGGTAATATTTCACACTTTTGCATCATCATTTCAAGTATGAAGTCACTCTGCTCTGTCCTGACAACATGAACTAAGTGAGCCATGGGAATGTTAAAGAGGAACTTCCAAAGATATTATCTAGGCATTAGAAACCATTGCCTAAATTGGTTTAATTGGAATAGAGCTTCAAAAATTTGGCAAATTAACTTGATTTAAAAGGTTTAACACTGGAAGAACAGAACTATGTACAATGTGTTCATTTTCCAGACGTGCATTTGTAGAACAAAAAACTAAATCCTCAGCATTACAGGAATTTTAGATACAGTTACTGTTAATTGGAATTTGAAGATATTTTAAGCAAAAGTAAAAGAAGCAAAGTCAGTTTGTAAATTAAATGCAAATGTGTTGCAATCTGAAAAAAAAAAACATGCAACCATTAGCAGACGTGCTAGCAAATTTAAGAGCTAGAAACTCATATGTAAATGAAGATGGACTTTTTCCAAATGATTCATTAAAGACACAGTGGAGTTACACATAACATATGATAACATGACAGGCTTGTTTCAAGTCATTTTCATTTCCCACCATTGGGAATATCATAAATTCCTAAAGGAATCAGGTTGTCAACTCTTGATGTTAGAGCTTCAAACTACAAAATTTTAAATAAATTAAACTTGGAGACTCCAGGAGGAAACACTGAGCTGATACTGGATGCTGGGGTGACATTCAGTGGCATTTTGTTCATTGTTCAGCAGTTATAAACATGCCTTACATAAGGCTACTTGGTCCTTGATGTAGTCTCTGCAGGGACAGATGCGATTTAGTGAGTGCTCGGATCTGACACAGCTGTAGAGCAGAGAATCCGACTGGAAGAGGCAATGTTCCCTGGTGCTGTCGTAGGCTGGGAACACAAGGTGGCCGTCTGAAAACTCAGACGTCTGACAAGCTATATTGTGGCTGCAAGCAAAGACAAAAAGTACATTAAATAATGAGCAGCTCTTTGGAACACACATTTGGTTTCAAAAACGAGTAAATTTGATTATGAAATTGTAATGGACTTTGCTTGTACCATTATTCAGAGTTGTAGAATCACTGAAGCATTTATGCAAAATTAATTATCTAATTGATTCCGATTAGTAGCTATGAATTTCAGATTGTTATGATTTATTCTTAAATTGTTCTCACAATCTAAACATTTGCATATCCGATAAAAATTATAGCTAAGTTGGTGGTAATTAGGGGGCATTTTTATAAACTTTAGATTTAGAGGCCAAAACAAAGGCTTATTTAAATAGCTCCATTAAATACCTTAAATTGCTTTACAGAAAATTTGAAAGTTCAGTAAAAGGCAGAACACATTAAATTTAGACATTACATACAAGTAATAATATATAAAGTAAGAAGAAATAAATATAGAACTAGTAAAAGGAATATAAAGTAACCTTTGGCTTTTATTGTAAAACTGCTGTAAACATTATTGTTCAGTCCTGATTTTAAGGCACCAACTGTATCCATATTTCTGGATTTCAGGACTAAATTTTTTTTTGTAGTTGCTGTTAGTGGGAATAGAATATGGAAATTCTCTCCTGAAATGAATCTGACTGCAGCCTACAGCTAACTACGCTGCAAACTTGGAGAATAAAGCAATTTTAAAACATCTTTGAAAGAAATGTGTCAGTGTCTTTAATGTACAGCTAAAACTTCAATTTGATACATAGTTTCTAATGCTTTTTAAGAATCATTTATTTTGTTTTATGTTGATGTTTGTCTCACTAGAAGTGTCATATTCATGTTTAACACATACTCACCTGGCAAGATTGTTGGCATTGTTGAGGTATGGAAAGAATGCTGGTTCACAGATAAGCCCCGCCCTCCGACAGGCCTGTTTACACGAAGTTCCTACCTCCGCTTTCACTACCTGGAGCGCGCTCAGAGGAGGCCAGCTCATAGCAGGTGAGCATAAATCCTGCAAACAGATAGGTTAGAAATCAGCTACCATAACAATGCGGATGATTCACGGCTCTACATTACGATGTCACCATGTGACTCTGAACCCATCCAAGCACTGAATAGATGCTTAGAACAGGCAAACGTGTGGATGTGCCAAAACTTTCTCCAGCTAAACAAAAACAAAGCTGAAGTTATTATCTTTGGACCTAAAGAGGAATTATCTAGAGGTCAGTTATTACAACTAGAAACTACAGATCAGGACCGAAACCTGGGAGTAGTGATGGACTCTGATCTGAACCTTCAGAGCCACATAAACAGTCACAAAGTCGGCCTTCTATCACCTGAAGAATAGTTCCAGGGTTATGTCTCTGTAATATCTGTAGAAATTCATCCATGTGTTTATCTTTAGTCGCATTGATTGCTGCAAACTGTCTTCACAGGTCTGCCTTAAAAAAATTAAAAATAAAAAAACAGGCCAACAGCTGCAGCTGATCCAAAATGCTGCTGCTGGCTTTTTGACTAAAACCAGGAAGATAGAGTAAAAGTCCCCAAACTGGTCCCCGACTTTAAAATACTGTTGTTTAGAAATCCCTGAATGACTTAACATCACAATACATTGAAAACCTGCTGTTATTAAATCACCTTTGCAGACCTCTCTGGTCTTCTGGTTTTGGTTCTGCTCTGCATCCCCAGAACCAGAGCCAAATGAGGAGAAGCAGCATTCAGCTTCTATGCACCACAAATCTGGAATAAACTTCCATAAAACTACAAAACAGCTGAAAAACTGAGTGCCTTCAAATCTAGACTAAAGACCCACCTGTTTTGAGTTGTTTTTGAAACATAACCAATGAAACATTAATCAACAATCTGATGTGTAGCAATGGTACTTGAAAAGATTTTATGTTTCAGTTGTTGACTGTGTATTCTGTGACTTTGTATTTTTGTGTTTTTATGATGTAAAGCACTTTGAAATAGCTTGTTGTTGAAATGTGCCATACAAACAAACTTGAAACAAAGGGTGAAAAATCTGATTTAATTAAAAATATATAGGCTTTATATAGATATCAAACCTGTTTCTCAATCAGGACATTAACCCTCTGGAGCATTCCTTCACATGTAAACTCATAGGGAAGGTAGGGTTGTATCTGGAAGACACATGTAAACAGAAAATACTTTGAGTAAATGTTTTCAGTGAATTCCCCAGTGGTAAGATTTCCATTAAACTTACAGTGCGATTGAGTATAGCAGTGATAGCTCTCTCCACATCTGTTTGGTTATCCATATCTACCATCCACACATAGGGCTCCCCTATTTCTTCAGCATATGGGTGCTGGGATGTGACCTTCACAATTCAGCAAACAGGAAATGAACAAGAACGATTTTCTTTTTTTATTATATTAAATACAAAGTCTTCTGCAAAAACAGTGAAAGATTGTCTCAGTTTATCTCATCAGACTTCATTTGATATTTGTTAATTAGATGTGTGTTTAAAAGGTAAATCTTTAAATAACAGAATAAAGAAATGAAAGCGACCCCTGACCTCTCTGATGGTGGGTTTTCCTTTGAAGAACTCTGTGTTCAGGCTGCTGTGTGGAGGTTTTAATCTGGGGTTCAGGAAAGCACAGCCATTGGCCAAGGCTTCCAGAGGGGCGGGGCCTTCATATGGGAACGACAACCCAACAAAAACCTACACAAGATTGCAAAAGTAAACCAGACATTAAAGATTAATGTGTAATGAAAACATAATGTACTACTATAGGATGTCCACATGGTGTCAGCAAACACCAGCACAATGAATGCTGACATGAGGAATATGTAAAACGTTGCCTTGATGTAGTCTTTCAAACCAAAAACCTACAATCTTTTCAGATTACAAATAGTTTTTTAAACTTGTGTTTTGGTGCTACTTATTATGGTCATTCAGAAAAACATGGTGAAAAGTTTGCCAGTCCTTGATGCCAGCTCCACACAAAACAGACACAGCTCAAATATTGTTTTTTTGATAGTTTTTTTTTTCCCGATCCGTTTTCTTGTACACAAACTTTATGATCCCTATTTAGCTCCTTTGTTACCCTGTAAGCAAAGATCCTTCCTGCAGTCAGAATCACCATCCATTACTCTTTCAAGACTCTTTGGTTGATGCAAGATATTACACCTAATTTTCCTTTCAGTACTTTTGATTTGAACTGAATTTATTTTCCAATTGCTAAAATTTTCCATATCAATATATATTTTTTTCTGCCATTTTCATTAATCGAATTCACTTCCAAATTCTACCAGCTGATGCTAACACAGCAAAGCATTTCTGTCACAGCTCAACTGTGCTGGATGGCATTGTTGGGTTTGATGCTTCTCTCCTTTCATCAGGATGAGACCATGAACTGCAGTTCATGTTCTCATAACCTTTTCCATTCAGTCCTTGTTTGTATCATGCAGCTACATAGATGTGGATCAAAAGTTGTTTCTCTTCCAGTGCCAACCAAACCTTTATTAGGAATGTCTCAGAAAATGAATCCTCCTTTCATGGCTTCTATGGAAACCAAGCGATCTAAATTGTGCTTTTAAAATGTTCAGAGCAACAATGAGCCTCATCAGAATAATAAAGCTATTTGCTAAAGCTTGGACAATTTGTGTGAAAAATGTAAACTGAAGATAATTTTGCAAAAAACACTGCTCAGAAAACAGTAGAAAAAGGTTTAGCTAAACTAGCATTATGCTTGTTTGATAAATCTTTGGTAAGAACTGAGCAGAAATAAATATGAGCAGGAGGCATCCAATCCCAATGGAAAGATGCACATGATCATGACTACCTCCTGTAATCGTCATGACTACCAACAGAAACTTACTTTGCTTTGTCTCAACAAGGTCTGCACTTCAGTTCCTTTGATAATACCATGATTTGTCACGTAGTTTGGTATCAGAGTACTGTTGTCGACTGTCCCATGGATGTCCAAGTACTTGTGGATGACGTCCAGATAAGACTTTTTACCCTAACAGCAAAGAAACGATCAGTAGTTTTCCCGGAAGATTTCGAAACAGTGAAAGCACAAACCTGATTGACCAAAAGAAAAGTTTTTAAACCTTTCCACCATTATTATTGAGTCAGATTCTGGGAATACCTTCCAAAATGTGGCACTCTTCCCATAAATGAGCGCCTGTTTTTTTCTCTGGATGGACTTCAGCTTCTCGTTCTCCTCCAGACTCAGCTGATGTTGTACCACGAAGCCGAGGAATGTGTTGTCTGGTGTATGAGCTGCTCGGACAACGCAAGAAAACACACATCTTTATAAGAATATACCAGAAATATATATAACAGGAGTATGTAAACCAAATGATCTGATATAGACTATAAGGAAAGAAAGAAGACGCATACGAAACATGGTATAGAACTGCATGGGGGTCAGACTGAGGCCACCAAACGGACTTTTGAGGTTGAATTTTTTTGCCCAGTCTGCATGATTGAAGTCTGGTTCAGTGCCAAAAGAGTCCAGCACACGGATTATACACCTGCCAGACACACAGACAGACAAGTGGCCATAAAAAACAAATCCCATTTTATTGTATGACTGACATCCAGACAGGAAAGCATTTAAATGGAAAAACTTCATTCAAGCAGTGAATAAAAAAAAGAAAGAGAAAAGCTTTTAACACCAAACTGCTAAGTGTTTGCACTACATTTATCTCCACTTAAGTGAACAAAATAACATTTAGTACAAAGACGACATTTAGTTCAACTCCTACCGTCCCTATTTAGGAGATCATATTACTCTATAAAATAAAATAAAAGTCTGTTCTCAAATTACCTATCTACAATGGACATTTTAACAAATTGTCCCCCATTACTCTAATAGTCCATGCAATTCAATAAAGCTTTTGTTGTCATTTTCTATATGTTTTATATAATATTAATGACCAATTATTCTAAATCACTCATTGTACTTTTATATACAAAGAAAAGTAACATTTTCCTTTTCATTGAAGTTATAGAAACAGGATTGTATTTCCCAGTAATCACAAATAGCTCTATTTCCAATTATCAAATGTCACGTAAGAAAAGGGTTTGGTTACCAATCCAGTGTAACAAACTGCAGTGCATAGTGGTTGAGTCAGAAAATAAGAAATCAAGTTTATTTGAACAGAATTTATACAAGGACTGGAGAAACTATAAGTATACATTTAGATTTCTAAGCAGATTAAACTGATACGTTAAGTTAGTTTTCAAAAGTGGAAATCATAAATCTTTCATTGTAATGGCTACAAGGACTTTTAATTATGTTGTATTGACTTTGTATATAATCAATCAAAGGTGCAAACCTATAGAAGAGCAAAAGTCCTAAGGTTTATTAGAGCCAGTGTCAGAACATTTATGTGGCAGGTTTTACTTTCATTGAGAAATATTTTTTTCTATGCATTCATTGAAGCAGATAAAGGATGAGTGGAACTTTAAAGTTATCCTCCCCCAATAGTCGTATTTTCATGAAAGGTTAGCTGTGTGCACTCACTGGACAAGGATCATCTGTTTCGCTTGTAAAATGTTAGAAAGCAGGAAGAACATTTACATTGTGCATACTTGATGCGCAGGCTAAACTTTTCCATTTGTAATATTACTGCTCCATTTTATGTTTTCTCAATTACTCTTCTCTCTTCACTTTTCTCTGTAACTGGCCTTTTCTTCTTTCTTGTCGTTCTTTTGTCTCAGTACCTTTTTGTTACCAGATGTCTCATCATCTCTGGCATCTGCTTTCATGTCTGAGATTCTTACCTCACTCACACTGCTGGCTGTTATTTTCCTCTCAAGGTTAAAAATGTACATATTCTGTCAGTCTTAGAATTTCGCCATCTAACACATCCAATAACCATTTCAAATTAAACTCTTGCACATAAAAACAATATATTTATGTTCCAGCATATTCATTCAGTGACTCACCATTTCTCTTTACCTCATCTGATCAAATCTCTTTTTTTATCTTTACATAAATCTAGTGAACGCCTTGGACAAAATCACACTTTAATCATTTCAAAAGTTTGAAATAATCAGAACGTGAACATTTTGGTTTTGCTCCAGCTTGTTGATTGTGTTATGACAGTTACTTACATTACTGGTAACATACTATTTGCAGTTTCCTCAATTTGGTAGATATAAGCAACTTTTTTCCACAAGAGACTAGCTCCATAGTTGCACTATATCTTGGATAAATTACAAATAGTGTTGCATATTGGCCTGAGAGGCTTTCCCATCAAATATACCAAGTCTGCATTATATAGCTTAATGTAATGCTGTGCTACATCTGAGCCCACAGCAGCACGTCTCTGGTCACCATCTGGACTAAACATCAATCTACACCAAGCCCATGGTGTGGGAAAAAAAAAAAAAAAAATCAGTCTGAATCATGAAGACTGACATATTTAAAGTGGAAAACCACTTAATTTTATAATTAGTTCATAGCATAAGTGTAACTTTACCCTCATATTATTACTGAAAGAGCAACAAAGAAGATGTTTTTGCTGTAATCACTCACTCAGCTGAAGCTCAGCTCTATCTCAGACCTTCACTCTGTTTCATAATAATAATTGTACTTGTAAAGCAACGAACTTCCTTCATAAAACAGGGAAACAGCTCCGCTGGTAAGTTTTGTACAAACAGCAGAGAACATGTTTTTGTCTAAATTATCAAACCAGAGAATTTCAGTACAGAGAAGAAACAAACAATGCTGACATTTTGTTTCTGTAAGCCAGTCCCTCCGCAGAACGAGATGTACTCTGACTTTTTCAGGTAATCAGAAATACCTTAGAAATTTAGAAACAAATTGTCAAAGCTAGGTTTGTGACCAGTTGTTCAGACATCATAGGTACCTTGTAAAACCAGATTAACCCCAGATTAGAGCAACGAACAACCCAGAATAAAAAAAAAACAAGTTAGAATACATTTATAAAACCTTTGTGGGTCATGTTTCACTAAAAGTGTGAAACGCCCGTTTATTTATGAAGGGTCAGTATTCTACAAAAAGGCTTGTCCAATAACTGGCTGGTGTCTTTAGAAACTTTAAAAAACATTTACTAATAAAATAAATCTTATTTTTTAATTGAACCGTCAAAAGTAGATTGCATTAACAAAACTTTTCTAAACTGACCACTCAAAGCAGTTTACTCAAGAGCCACAATCAATTGCATTTATAAACATCAGTCTGGTGGCAACTTTTACTTAATTGCCTTTCCTTTTGACATTTGACAGGAGGAAGTTGAAATCAAACTTGTAGCCCTCTGACTGCAGGTCAGCTCTACCCATATAAGCAGATACCTTATGCCTACTTCAGAAAGCCAGATTGTGTTTGCTCTATGAAGCATAGAATTATGAAAATGGAAATTGGGGTGAAATTGAATTACATTGAATGTGATCAAAATATCCCATTAATCTTATAGGGTCCAAGGTTTAGGCGTCTCACTGAACGCTGACAAGGCAACTTTCTAATATAATTTGTTTCCTGGTATCTGTAGGCCTTAGCTCAGCTGTTTTGATGTTAATGTGTCTTGCTGCACTTTAAGCTCAGTTGCTGTGTTTTGTTCAGTTTTGTGTGTAAAGTGGAGCACTTTTATGTGGCGAGGCATGAAAAGTAATAAAGTTGGTCATGTTCAGGTATAGCATTCCTCTGAAACTGGTGCTTATTGCATTTTACTGGAACAGATTACAGCAGCTTAGAGTCATAACATAATGTATGTAGTTCTAAAGTGCCATTTGTTTTGGCGCCCAAGTTGTACACAAATTTATTAAACAGGATTTATAGTTGTTTAGTTTTGAATTTGAGTTATTGAGAAATCTGATCTTTGAAAATAAAGTTTGAGAACCGCTCCTCTACACATCCCAGGAAATATAAACTCAGTGTATGCCTCAGAGACGCTATTATGCTATGATTTAGTATTTATACTTTTAAGAGTTATGTTACTAATACATTGGCATTAATTACTTATTCGGTGAGTTAATTATAGACATTAATCATTACTAATCTTTTACTTCCAATTTGTGTTAACACACTTGTTTTGGTCTAGACCGCAAGTAATTGTAAAACCTCCTGCACTTAAAAAGATGGTCACGATTGCCGATTAATTAATCAAGTATGTTTGTTTGTTTGTTTGGGCTGGGCCTCACTGGGGTTGCTAAGTAACGGGCTGGGCCTGACTGGGGTTGCTAGGTGAGAGGCAGTTCCTGCTGATTTGTGACATTGCATTAAAAGGTTTCTGAAACGACTCATTTTCTAGACTCCAAAAAACTTTAACTTGCTGCCTAAAACTGACTGGGTGCTTTTTTTTAGATGCTCTGGTTGTTTTTAGAAGCAGTTGAGACACAAATGGAAGTACAAAAATGTGCAAAAATGTGAATTTAGCACAATACGCCCCTTTAAATCCAATGGAAGAAGCAAGAGAGTGCTTAGTTTTTCTAAGTGTTTGTACATGTAATAATATGTAAACATATTTCAATGCCCATGAAGTTACTCACTTGTATTTGATCCACGACGTCTTAAGTACTTTCTGGATTTGTCTAAGACCAATTATATCTGTATAAATCAAATTTGGTTCCACTAGTGAATGTCGAGAGGGACATCCGCCAGTCTGAGTCCCGAAAAACCTAAAGAGAAACAGAGACACAAAGAAGCAAGAGGGAAAATATGGTAATTATAGCATCAGGCTTTGGCATTACTGAAAAGGACACGATTTGCATTTGATGTCATGCAACACAACTGGGTTTTAACTGCCACATTTATCTGCTTTTGCTTCTTTCCTGTGACCGAAGCACAAAAGGCCTGCAGATGAATACTCACTTGTTGAGGCTGGGAAGGGAGGCCGACAGGTGAAGGTGGTGACCCAAAACATGAAGTGAGGAAATAAGGTCACTCCACTGAACCAGCTCCCCGAGGGGGCCGCCGCTGAAAGCATTCTCAGCTATTTTGAGACCCGCTTCTTTCGTAAGCACACCAGGATGCACAAGTACCTGAGGGAGTTGGGGGAGGAAACAGATTAATGGATAAGAGACGACTCTGAATGCTTTCTTAACTGTCAATATCTCCCTGGCGTCTGTTTCGGCTTTTCAGTCAGAATCAAAAAGCTTCCCAGACGTTTAAGGATAAAGCGATGACTCAGTTCAGACAGTCACAACATCTGTCCTTCCACTTTCATTCTACTGTGTGAGGTTTGCTGGAAGAAACTCCGAAGTCTGAAAATATAGAAGCTTATTTCCTGTCTTTGGCATTAGTGGAATAAAAAGCTTCTCTAAATGAAGGATGAAAGCATCTTTAGAAAACAACCGGAAAATGTTAAATTAACAATAAAACACTTTTAAGTACACAAATGCAGAACTCACAATGGCACAAACAATAAAAATAATAAATTGAGTGAAAAGGAAATTTAATTTCATTATGAAAGACAGCTGGTAAGAAATGGATGAAAGGTGAAGTCTCTAGATTGGTGTCATTTCATTACAGAAAAACCCTGTAATGAAATATTACAGTGCTGGTTTAGGAAGATAACAATGTACAACCTCAGAGGAAACAATATGGAAGCTGATTATACACAACCGAGAGATTTATTGAAACACAAAATCAAAGCAAAACTATTTAATGTAACAGGAAATAACAATGGCTTTTTATCAAACTTGAGAAGAAAACTTAATCTTAATGATAAAACCATCTGAAGTCCATAGTGAGAAAACACAGGAAACTCAACCAAACCTCAACCAAAGATCAGAGCTTATAGTTAAGCCTGAATATATTTTTTTTTAAAAATCAACATTTTTTATTTTGTTACTGTTAGAAAAAAAAATGCAAGTCACTTATTGGGACGTTACATTACAATTTAATTTGATTCTGTTTGTATTTACGGTTAAAATGCTGCACATTTAAACATGTTTTGCTTTATTGAAAACTATATTCAATAATTTGATTATCATTACTTCATCTAACTGATCCACTGCAGTTAAAAGCGAAATAGTAAAGACTAAAAGTCTGTGACATTTACAATCCACAGAGCCACTTTTACCACCACAAGTCAAATGCCAGATGATTAAAACTTGAACAGAACTGGGGCTTCCAACAATAAATTGATCCAACAATTATAACCGCTGGATAAATACGCTTGACATTAAGGTCAGAAAAAAAGGTTAGATAATGTTTTATGAATACAGATACAGATATTTAAGAGTTATAAACTTCCGATAAGTTTTTACCTGTTTGGCTTTCCGGTCTCCCAGGTTGTATTTGGTTGAGAGAGAACGTCCTGCCTCCAACCAAATCTCCTCCATACTTTTAATTCTCTGTTGGATCCACCTAAATTCAGTCTTGTTGTGCAAAAACTGGTGCAGCCCCTCAAAATGTCCTCGTACCGCTGCATCCTCTAAAACATCCTCTTCGATGACTGGAGGCACAACTCGGCCTGGAAGAACAGGACACCAGGACTCTGCCTTAACATGACACAAAACGAAACACGGTATTACTTTTAACCGCTCCTGCCTGAAAAGATAAATGTATTTGATGCAAACAAGGTTGTTTTTTTTTCCCCATATCAGGACTTGCAGGGATATAAATTCAACGATGATAAAATCTAATCTTGTCTAAACTGATTCGTGTTAGTGCATGTTTAAAAGCACGTAGGTACCTCGCTGAGATAGATGAGGAAGGAGCACAGCGACCCATTCACACCATAACTGCTGTAGCAAGGATCCGTCTGCCACATGTCCTTCATCCACTGTCACCAGAAAAATCCACAAAGTACAACAAAAACATCACCTCATGGTTAGTGAGCTCTAAAGTACTAAAACACTGAGAAAATTTCCGTCAGTTTTGCTGTAAACTGAAATTATTTGACATCGACTACAAAAAGAAGCATCTTTACAGAATAGTCCTAAAGTTGAAGTGCTCATCTATATTGTAGTTTAATGTCAAAGTTTAATGTGTAAGTGAACTAAAAGGAATGATAAATAAATAGGATTAACCATATTCTGACACTTTTAGCTTCATGCTTCACAATCATTATGTAAACATTTAATTACAGGCCTTTATTACCTTGATTTTTCCCTTACACTCTGGAAATCCATCCAATGGTGGCAGCGGGCAATTTTTATCTTCTAGGATTTCATCCTCTAAGGAAAACAATCAGCAGAGCCTTTATTAATAAATATTTTCTGATTTTACATGTACTTTGTTAGAAATTAGTGGAGAAAATAAAATATATTTACCCATCTATGTATTCATAAATTATTTTGTCTACGGTAATTAAATAAATTAGAATATTATCAGCAGTTGCCCCTCTTGTTGGCTGTTTATTTGTATGTCCGGCCATTTGTGAATGAGCATCATCTGCATTGCAGTGCTTTACTGAACTCATTATTTTGCCGGTTTTCTTTGTAAATTCCAGCCTGATGCTCAAATCAAAATATTGTTAATCCAATTTTCTGCACGGTTGTAGAAATCTGAAAAATATTGCTTTACTAACCCTGAAAGCAAGTCTCCATTGTACGTTTTTCTTACTTGAAATTTAAATTAATAGCCATCATCCTCATGTCTAAACTTTTCACCTGCTTAGATTTCTTAAAATGCATTCATTTCCTGCTTAGCTGTGTTGAATCAAATCTTAAAAATGTTTAGCTTTAAAGTGAAATCTTACCAGATTCCACTCTCTCCTTTTTCTCTTCCTTCTGCAGCTGCAGCTTTAGAAGCTCCTCCAAGCGAGTCACTTCTTGACGCAGTTGGACTTTATCAGCACGCAGCTCCTTTATCATCTCATCCTTCATCTGACCTTTCACTTTCTCTGCCTCCATTTTCTCCTGAAGAGCTTTTATGTCCTCCTTGTAGCCTTTAAAACGTGGCGATGCTGAGACTGGAGGAGAGAGGGTCATCTTTCTGCTTTAAACGTGTTGAAAAGGCGTTGACATTTCTAAATAGCTCTTCATGCAAAAGTCACACAGTGTTAAGGTAGGAAATGTTTCCTTGGCTATGTGAAGAGAGATCATTTTAATGATTCAGTCAAAATTGAACCAAGAGAGTTTGCATTTAGACAGTTAAAACAGTCTGTCTACTTGTGTAGCATATTTAAATTATTTAAAGGGGCAGTAATATTTTATTTATTTTTTATTTCATTTTATAGCTCAATCAACTACCTTCACTTGTTATAAAAGGGCCATATATATCAAACATGACTGAAAGTAGTCATCGTATTATTTGGTATGAGAAATGCTTTGCCATTCAGACCCATTTTAACTTGAAAATAAAATCTTGATTCAGTAGCTGAATAAAGAAGTAAAATCCTTCTGAAACTGACCAGGCACTGAAAAAGGCTCAATTGGAAATGGACACAAAAAGCTAAAGCTCAAAGTCATTAGCGGCAGGGCGTGGGTCTGTTCAGTGCAACATTTTATGATCTGGTTTATCCAGGAGAATATTTCCACTGCCAGTGGGACTCTCCACTGGCCATGCAACAGAAGCCTTCAGAAAAATCCAATTATTTTTCCAAGCAAAACATTTTCAGAAAGTTTTTCTGCTTAGACACAAAACATGAAGGAATGAGGGATGACTCAGAGCATTTTGAACAGCTCCAAGAGAATCACACTAATGATTTACTCTCCTTAAAACACGGGGTCAACTGAAGCCCAATTAATGGAGAGAAATATATTTTTAGAAATTAGCTGCTGAACATTGAAATGCACTGGATGAGTATTCTGCCAATAGCAAACCAACGTCAGATGGGTTTGACTTGTTTATGCAGGCGTTCAGACGAAATCCATCACCATTAACACAAAAAGACAGATGGCAAAGCAATAATTGATGTCCACTGGCTGCTTGTCGCATCCAGAGTTTATGAGTCAGAATATTTATCTCAAATTTTAGGCAACAGTTGCATAGTATGGAGGGCACCTTATGTTTCACAGAACACTTGTTTTTAAAATTATTTTACCATCATTATCCGTTTCGACGGCGTTCAGCAGATCATCCACAAACTGGACAAAAATCTTCATCACATCTAGAATTGAAAAGATTAAAAAGACAGAAAAAAAGATTATAAGGAAAAAGTAAAGTAAAAAACAAAACAAAATTATGTTCAACTGCAAAGTTTACATCCAGTAAATAAATGACCTAAAAGATCTTAAGAATGCAAACAACTGTTCTGAGAAACTAACCAGAATAATATTCTTTACACAGGCAGGGTTACAGTTTGATCAATAAAAATAATCTGTTTTTTTTTTTCCACCCTTGTTCCTTCTCGTGATTCTGTTGCTTCCAAGGGCCAGTCTGTAGGTGAACAGGACACTCTTAATGCAAATTGATCCACTTCACGATAAGCACTCAAATATGCTTAATTAGTCTCCATTCATATGGCCTCCTCTGGAGAAATGGGATAATGTCAAACTAATGCAAGTAAGTCCTGAGTGCCTGGAAACTGCTCGGGGTTAATGTGTTTCCCTCCTGCTCTCTGCTCAGCAGTTGCCAAGAGAGAGTCTTTTATTTGTTTCGATTATTTTTCTTCCACGAGGAAGAGAATCTGGTGTCGACACTACTGGTTAACACCCTTACTTCTGCTTCTTTTTTTGCAGCCTGACCCTTCTCATTATCTCACTGCTCTTTTCTCACCTTGGGCCTTGCTTGTTTCCAGCCACACTTTCCTGTTTTCCCTCAGTCCGTTGTCAGCAGTCACACCGATGCTCCTCTGGTCAACTTTAGTCTGAAAGACACACAAACAAATGAATTTTAGCTAACAGGAATTCAAAGTAAAAAAAAAAAAACAAACAAAAAAAACACTGAGTTTGAAATCTGCACTGAAATATTTACATGCGTTTTCTTTGAAATAAATTATTTTCTGCTAACATATAACAATTGCACAATGTTGTACATAAGAATATTACATCAGACCAATAAAAAATATTTAATACAGCAATATGGACTTAAGGAAAAGTTTGTTTAATTCCTGCTTAAAGTAACTTGATGGATTGTTTTCAGTTTTTCGCTTGAGGACAAGAAAATAAATTTTTAAAAAAACATCAAAAACTATTTTTATTTTTCCAATTTCTCTTCAATAAATTTAGTTTTGAACTGTGATGGATTTTAAGCCCCCAAAAGACAAAGTAAGGAGAAAATGGGAAAAGATACATACCAGAATGAAATAAGGCAGGCTCAGACACCACAGCAAACAGATGGCCAGCAGCACACACACAGGCTTTTTCAGGATTTGTTTCAGCTTTCTCATGATTAACAGGAGCTACAGGTTAGATTGGGTGTAAGTTATTAGAAAATACAGCAGATTAAATGTCATGTTTTTTTTTTTTTTTTAGAAAAACAATTGTTCTGTTCAGCAGTGGGTTGTAAGACATAAACAGGAGTAAAATGAGAAAAATCTGAAAAACATAGACATTTTATATCAAATGACCTTATAAATGAGATTTATCTATATAAATAAGGAGAAAATTAAAAATAAAAAGTGAATTTTCTTTATATTTTGTGAGAAACGGGCCCAAAAAATATTTCAGTGTGAATGCATATTATGAAATGAAAAAAATGTTTTTTTTATAGCGATAGATTGATTTAAGGACAATTAAATTAAATTAAAGAGACTGTTTTTAACATTTCTAAAATATTTGCCATAAATTGAGGTGGTAATAATTTGGAATCAAAACCTCCTGAAGGAATTTTTATTTATTTTTTTTTAAATTCTGGTGATAGATTCACGTGGAAACACATGAATGCCTTTTTAGTTTTTTAAAGCTTGCACATCCTTCTTGAAGTTATGTACAGGCCTCTTAAGTTATTGCAGCTCTTTTTAAGCACATTTTATAGTGTATGACAATATGATCCAAAGTGAATATGGCTAATGTAGGAGGACATACATGTTACAGTGGAGCAGAAGAGATCAGACTTTTTCAGATACTTTTACCTGCAAACCGATTTTAAGTCCCATTGTACAACAAGTTTTGTCCTTGTATCAGTTTGTATCATTCCTGAATGATTTTCTTATTTACAGTAAATAATCTACCTTTAAAGTTCTGTAAATAAATGCTGAGATATGAATTAATAAATCATGAGATGGTTAAAAGTTTTTGTCATTTTTGGTCCAATTTATTCATCAAATGACCAAGACTGGATTTGTGAACAAGCCTATCGGTGGATGGCGATGTCCGTTATCTACAATATTGTTAATTTGTTTTTCTTGTTCCTGCTAGTAACAGAAGCAGGCCTTATCTTTTCAGTTTTGGCCCAGCAAAACAGTATTAGATTAACCAGAATAACTTTGAAAATTAACCAAATAGTCTCTTAGTTCAAATTTTAAAGAAAAGATAAAGTGATTTTATATCTATGTTACTAACAGCTGCAATGTTCAAAAGTTCAAAAAGAAAGTAAGCTGAATGTCTTGCTCAAGGCAGATGATTTCTTGGTGCTGTTTTTGATGATTTAACGCAGAGCGTGTCTATCCTGGTCCTCAGGGCTTTGCCTCCTGCGTGTTTTAGGTGTTTCCTTGTAGTCGCACCTGTAATGAATGTGTGACTGATGGCTTACTGAGAGATAATGTAATCATTTAAATCAGCTGTGTGTCAGCTACATTTCTTTCAGCTGCTAAAAAGTCAAAACATTGAAGGTTTGCTGAAATGTACAAATTCACAAATTCCAAAGCTTCGCCTTGTAAATAGTGTATATAACATATTTTAATCTCTTTAAGTAACTTTGACAAAGTAATTTAAAAAAAAAAAAAAATGTCACTAACACTTTTTTTGTAAGGACAAATGCAAATGTTTCTCCTGTATTGCTTGCCTATTTTTTCATTTTATTTTTTTCTAAATGGGAGCATGGTTTGAGAAAATGAGGCCAAAGCACAAGATCAACCAGCGGAGAGCTGCAGCTCCCTCAGAAGCCACTTTAAGATGTGTGTTAATCAGGTCCTCTGCAGCTGTGTGCCGTCAGGTTGATGAGCTAATGTTTGGTTGGCGGGTGGAGGAGATAATTAAGTAACACAGCTTGATTAAAATGTTATTGAAATTAGTGACTTAACCAAGCTCTCTATATGACGGATTCTTCTTATTGTTAGCAGAGCTAAATTTGTTTAATAGTTAAATCCCTGATTGAGAAACTGATCCTGTAAATGGTGCAACCAAAACAGCTGTCTGGGTAATTAAACATGAAGAACACTTTATATCTATCTTTGCAATGGTTTAACCTGAGCATTTTAATTCATTGACAGTGTGATTCTCGGCTGGACATACATTCACAATGAGAAAACAACTTAAAACACTTACCTTCAGGAATTTAATTGGTCCTTCAAGCTCAACAGAAATGAAGCTTTGTGTCTGTCTTAAAGTTTCTTCATGATCCAGTTTCCCTTAAAATTGCAGAGAAGTGCTCAGGCAGGATTCACAGGTGAAAAGCTTCATTGCTGGTGGCAGACCAAACACGACGCCTTCATGCTTCAGCTTCCCCACAGAACCAGTTTATGTTCACAAAACCAGTTTGTCTTCATAGCAGAAGCCTGGTTTAACAGGCTTCTGCCTGTTAAACCAGGCTCTGAAGGAGCAAAATCTGCTCCTTCAGATTTTGTTTTCAAGTTCACTTTTACTTTTTTACACTTTCTTTCCCTATAAAAGTGTAGTGGGTTGAGAAAATACACCCACTATTTTAGATTTTTTTTTTCTTTTTTTTTCTTGTATATATGTTTTTTCCCCACAAAACCAGTTTAACTTCAAAAACCAGTTTGTCTTCATAGTGGAAGTCTGGTCTAAAAATAGACTTGCTTCTTCAGACTTTAGTGACTGATTTCTTTGTTTGTTTGTTTGTTTTCAGGCTCACTTTTACAATTTCACACACCTCTATAAGTGTAGTGGGTTGATAAATACTTTAAAAAATAACACACCCTTATTTTTGAATTAGTCTTAACTTCTGTCTTTTTTTTTATTTTTTTCCTCATATGGATATATATTTTTTATGTACATACAACTTCTTACCAGTAGGGGCACTGTCGTACCACTGTGGGTCTAATAGGGAGAAGGTTTCCTGGCTCTGGGCATGCGCGGCTCAGAATAAATGAACATAACTCTGTTCCTCTGTGATCCACAGATATTGGCAACACACGGTTCTTTTGCCTGTGTGTCACGAGATGCTGGCTCAGATTCCTCTCTGGTGCCGGTAACAAAAGCCTAATGCTATAAAGAAACTGTCAAAAATCCTGTGACCTTTCAAAATACATTAATTGAACTACAGAGGATGTGCTACATATATTATGCAACTGTTCAGTTTTTCCAGTGCCAAAAGTTACTGTTTGAAAAATGAACTTATTAGTTTTGAATATATAACTTTTTCAGTGTTGGGCTTCTTAAGGTCACCAAGTTGACACAAAGCCTCACTACAAAAATTAAGCCAAGCAAACATTGATTTCATTTTAACTGTGGGTGGAAACAGGAATACTTTGAGAAAACATAAGATCAGTAAAACCATGCAAATTTTAGACTGGATAACTGTGAAGTAAAAATCATGCTGTTTTGGCCTTCATGGAATTTAGTGACCATAATTTAAAGATAGTTTGTTTCATCTGAATGTTTAAGTTTCTTTTACTCAATTTATTACATTAAAGCTCCTCCAAGATTTTCCTAAAATATCACCAAACTGCTTCAATTCCTCATAAACAAATGACAAGACTTTGTCTCAAATATCACTTTTGTGATATTTGCCGAGGCTTTTATTGTGTTTAGTCCATGAGGTTCTTCTTCTTTTCTACTACGGCCGATCGCAAACACCTGTAAGGTGCACATCGCCACCTACTGTACATGAGTGTGTAGCAGCACTACCTCACATCCATTAAATTATATTTTTAAATTTTGTATTATGTCCTTCAGATTCAGTTACCCAGTTCAAACAAATGCCACAGGTGCTAGCACATGTGGATGTTTGAGTTCGTTGAATCATTCAATGATCATCCAATGTGAGGCAGGTGAAGCGTAATCCTGTAAGTAAGTAAAATTAAGGCCATGAGAAGTAAAATAGATTCTAACAACGATGAAATAAAATCAATTTCGTCCATTTGCTTATTGATAATTTCAACATTTTTATGGTCAAAATTGCTATTTCTTTGCAAGCATTATGTTTAACATATATTTTAGACAAAGTTAATCAAATGGAGTGTTTCACGAGTATTCATGAATAAATTTGTTTTGTTTTGTACATGTTTTTAACTTAACATTATTAATGTTGCACATTTTTTTAAATTTTACAAATGCTAACTGCTGCCAACTGCTCATTGGAAACTTTTAGCTTGTCTATTTATTGTATCTTATTTAATGTATAGTTGCAGCAGCTGGTGGGCTGACTTGATTTCCTCTTCTTAGAATAAATAGGTCAATTATGTAATGTAAATATTACATAATTAACCTATTTAATGTGTTTCTCATAGTGATGGAATTCCTGAAATTAAAGGACTTTCAATAATATAATTTAATGTCAAAATAACTTTTTGTCTTGAAAAACAAAACTGGTATTTAAATAAATAAAGATATTAGTTCATTAACTACTTTAGTCTAGAGTTGTATATTCATGCAGACAACATGGTCATGGTGGTGCACTGCAAGGGGAGAAAAAAGTACAAGAACACCCAACTTTCTTTTTATTAATTGTTTTGATCATTAAACTGTTTAATGAGGAGGACCAAAGGTTTTTTGGTACATTCATACAAAAATCCCACTGAATAAAGGTCCAAATAATTAGGAACTTTTACAGAAAGAAAGAAGAAGAACATTCAAACTAAAGTTTTTTTTTAATTCAGGTGATGGAGAAAATGGAGAAAGGACTATGACCTTTCTCCATTTTGTACTTTTTGGTTGTTTTCTCATGGCAAAGAAAAAACAAAAGAAGCTTTCAAATTGTATTGTATTGTATTGTAATGACAACGAACAATACCACGAAAATACAACACAATTTTTTAACCCATATAACATATGAGTGTTCTGTTACTTCAGTAAAATGATATGTTTACTGAGGTCGGTTGTGCTGGTAATGCATGGGGATGAAATGGAGATATAAAGATGAACTCATCTATGCATGCAGTGCAGGCCTCTACTAACTGCCTCGTCCATTCACTGAGGCAGCTCAGAAATGTTTTATGTATCTTGTCAACAAAGTTGTTCTCTTGATTTTTTTATTTTTTTTCTGAGTGACAGAAAAGCATTTATAAAAGCACAGAGATATTATTTTAGTCCACAGCGCGCTCATTTACCTCAAACATCCAGCTTCAGGAGATACATCCAGGTAGCTTAAGTGGCTGATAATGAAGCAAAAGCAGCATAGAAACGGGCATCAAATGTCATAAGCTAAAGTGTCAAATGCAAAGTGATGTTTATTACCACTTGTTTATCTGAGCACTATCATAGAACAGAGTCTACCTTTAACCAGAAAACAAAAGTTCTCTCTTAATGTGTTTTTTTTTTTTTGTTTGTTTGTTTCATCAGAAAGGTTTAAAGATAATCAAATTGTGATTCCTGCACATTGAAGTAGCATGTTATACCATGGGATTTTATACGTATTTCATTATTACTGGGGTTTTTTGTTGCCAACAAAACTTTAAATGGCTGAAAACTGAAGACGCAGCTCTTCTTGGTTTGTTGTCCTGTTAAATTCAAACCTGCTGTGCAGTCAATGATACAGTTAAAGTTATGCAATACGGCTTTCAATGCACTGATTGATCCAAGCAATGTTTGCAGTGGAGGAACCGCAGGAGGTGTTTCCAGAGGCTCATTCTCTCTTTTTTCCCTCCTATTATTGGTCAAAGCCTCTGGTGAAACCGTCACCATTACATCAGAGTTCAATGGAAAATCTTTGTGTTATTTTCCCAGAGGGTCTGATGACTAATTACAAGAACCAAATACGGACGTCATTCATTCTAACAATGGATGGAGATCAATAGGCCAAATACATATTCTGGACACGACCTCAAGTTCTACTAATGGACGAGAATTTTAAACCATCACATCGCCTTTATTTAGGACTTTAAGCCACATTGAGTTTTTACTTACAGCTCACAATCAACCATTTAAAATAATATCCATGATGATTTGGATTTAACAATTATTTAAAAAAAATGTTTTTCCATATATAGAGGCAGTAACTGAATGTTATTCTTGATGGTCTTTCTAGTGAGGTTTTAAAGCAGAAGGTTTCATTTTGGCAGGAAACCTAATTAGTTTTATTATTGCTGACTGCTCCTCAATGTGCTTGAGGCAATTTAAGTTAAATATTGATTGATGCATCTTTAAATGACACAAAAGCGTAAAGAGTAAAAAAAAAAAAAAAAAAAAAAATTATCAGGTCTCCCTCTTGGCAGTGCTTCAGGTTTCCAGCATAGGAACAAAGCAAAGTAAGAAAGATTGGGAAGATAAAAAACAATCCTGCTCCCATTCCTTCACTGCAACCCACCCTGGGTACTGAGGATAATTAATAGTATTGTTTGGATGTTGAAAAAGGTCCTATTTGCCCTTCTGATACGTCAACTTTGAGCTCAGTCCATGTACACCTTGTCTCTGGTAGTTTAGCTTAGACAGAGACTGTGAATCAGATGTCTTAGTCAGAGAGCAGAAATATTTGGAGTTTTATTCAACCTGGAAACAATCTCCTTTCACAGTTTTAGCTGGATGGTTAAATCATATTTCTAGTTTGCAAATACTATGCCTCAAAAAAGCTGCAAAAGCAGAGCAAGTTTTAAAGAGAAGAACAACAGAAGCATCTGCATGTTTACATGCAGCATTGACACTGCTTCAGGCTGATAAGGTGGAAGCAGGATGTGGAAACTTAGAAAACTTAATCTTTTACCACTTTCCTCTTGATGAAAGTCATATTGCACTAGTTAGTGGTAGGAGATATATATATATATATATATATATATATATATATATATATATATATATATATATATATATATATATATATATATATATATATATATATATAC